TTGAACCCAGGTCTCTCACACCAAAGCCATGTGTCTTATCCATTATGCCATCACCACCCCAATAGAGCATTCTGATTTGTGGAAACTAACAAGTTAACATTCAGTTAAACCCTTGCTATGGACACATCGCGCTAGCTAATTTAGTTACTGAAGCCTATATGACAATAACATTGTCATTCAGGATGCCAGTGTTTTGCTAAATGAGCTGGCTAGCTGGTGTGCTAACAGGTCAAGTTCAATATCAGACACTGCCATTTACAGAATGTATCCATTCAGATTATTTACTTCACATAAATTACGTGAGAAGTCATTAATCTTAAATCACACTCTTATCTTCCTAAAACTAACAAACTGATGTGATTTTACTTTTTTCCAAAATAAGTGGCATGTAGGTGCACAATTCGGCCTTATTCTGTCTTTTTTTAAGATGTGGACAGCTCATTTTTAAAACCTTCACCTTCACACAAACATTTGGGGAGAGCACAGGGAATTACTTCACCAGTGTGGCTGAAATTGTTTTTTGAGATTCAAAACAATGCTAAACAATTGTTTCTTAGATCATGCAAAGCGACCGATATAGTGTAGACGTCAAGGTCAGTTTCACTTGTTCCACTCGTGTTCTTCCAACCCGTTCTCACTCAGAACTCTACACATATGGACGCATGGTCAAGAACCATTGGCATCAGTTTGTAACGCATTGGGGAGCCCCATAGCGTCATAGTTCGACGCACTGGGGGAAGCCCTGTAGCGTCGCTTTTGGATGGCGAAGATAGGTATATGATATTTAACAAAAGGCAATGTAAGGAGGTGGTTTAGGTGGACGGCTGGCCAGTAACCAACTTTTAAGCTGAAGACCAGTGTTCGTTTCCCGTGTGAAACAAAAATTCAGCACTAAAATGTTTTATTTAAGTGACATAGCTTCCTTAAGTTACGTTACTTAACTCACGTAAGTTAACCTATGTACATAAAATAGCTTTTTAAACCCAAACCATGATCTTTTCCTAAACCTAACCAAGTACTTTTGGGGCCTAAACCAAACGAAACTGTGACATTTCACAACATTAACAACGCTTCATTTCAAAATTTGCAACGTTAACAAGTACTTTTATTTTGAAAGTCAAACAGGATGTTGCTTACTTGACCGGACGTAGAATATATATTGTTGCTAACTTGACCGCAGAGCCCTAAACATCAAACAATGGCCTTATAGGGGTTCCCAGGCCGTTAAAAAGCAACGCCGAGGGTTTTGACCAAGTGTCCATATGTGACTAGTAGTGAGTGCGAATGTGTTGGTTCTACTTTTTTTTTTAAATATGGCTCTTTTGTTCAAAAAGTTTAACCACTTGATCAAAAACACTTCAGTTGTGAGATGTACTGGCAACAAGTGAAATTATCTCACCTTCTTGGCACATTCTTTCACTTTTCTTGACAGAATTCACAGGTTTAAACCTGAATACAAGATTAAAGGTTTTGTTGAGATGAACATTTCCTGAAGGTTCAATCTCAATCTAAATTCTCAGCTCTCCTCTCTTGCTTCTTTGATGAATAATAGGAGCGGAGACAGAGAGATGTGCGAGCATTAAATGTGTATTCATCAGGTCTGGCCTTGGCCATTGACAGGCTAATCAATGTTTAGTAATAAAGCTGAATGTGGAATGAGGTGTGGGGGGTTTGGGTTGGGACGGAAGGGAAGGGATATCAATTAAGCAGGGAACTGCAGAGTCCAAGCCTGAGGAGCTGAGACGGCAATATCCCGACTCTGGTTCATTAACTAAACAGTGTGTGCTGAATGCAAAACTCCTGCAGTCGCCCCCTCCAGCACCAACCCACCCATCCCAACTGTAAACAGAAGCCTTTCAATGGAAATGAGAGAGCAGGTAGAAAAATGCCTTTGATAGTTCACATGATGAAATATCTCGGAGGCCGTGCAGGGAAATAATATCCACACGTGACACAATAAAGTCAAATGTGCAGGGCGCCTGCAGCTGGAATCATAAAGCAGGACCCAAATACATTACCAAATTATATTGTGAGATATTTGCATGCAAAATGCATTTAGTGTAAATTGGGAGAAACACTGGGTAAAATTAAATAGGCTCATTTCCAGCTCGCAGTTTGTTCCCATTATGGAAAACTAGCAAAACATAATCATTTGTTGTCTTTTTTAATCAGGAGGATTTGTGGAAGTACAACCTTTTTACCAACAAGGGTTACAAAGTCCTATAAAAATGTTTATTATCTTCATATTAATAGCCTCAGGATATCTGTTTTGGGGCTTCTTTATTTTATCATACAAAACATTTAATTAATTTATAATGCTGGCCCTATATTGATTATCAGGGTATGGGTCTACTTTCTGGTGGTGTAATGTATAAAAAATATTTCAATAATAATCATAAACTACCCTTTTTTTTTAACAAGGTGTAATTTGTTTCCATTATATTTATATCTTTATTTTCTGTATTTATTAATTTGAGTATTGTGTGTAAACCAATTTGAACCAGGGTACATTAAAGCAGAGTAGATCACGCAATATTATGAACTTTGCCCCCTATGTGTTAAGCTCCAAAGCCTCCTACAGTTCCCATCATGCATCTAAACAGCAGATTACATTAGATCCTGCCTGGGAAACAAGTATGTCTTTAAAATCCTATAAAAACAGTTGTTTAAACAACCCGTTCTCATCCCAGGGTGTCAAGATCCCTTGGTGTCACTTATTAACAACCTGGGTATCCTTAATCTTCTCGGCTTAGCAAGAATAAATATGCAATCCGGTTACACTTTCTAAATAGAACTAGTAGATACTGTTGTAAAATGTCACATTTTGGTTAGGTTTAGGCACCAAAATTACTAGGTTAAGTTTAGGAAAAAATCATAGTTTGGGTTAAAAAAACTATGTTACTTTAACTAACATAACTTAAAACAAGTAAGTTCAATATTGACTTTTTGTTTCACACATTAAACGGAACACCAGTTTCATGGGTAAAAGTGATTTCTGACTGACCCACTTTCTCACTTTACTGTTATTTATACTAGGCCTAAATATAGCGTTGAACAATGAAACTAAAGAGCTTACCACTCTGTGTTGAACTATGATGCTAAAGGGTGAGAACAGGCTGGGTAAATAGTACTCTCTAAAATTAGTAAACAAACTTTCATGTGTTTCATGCCCCTTTGAAAGTAGTTAGAATGAGCTCCACCTCCAAAACATGCCGACACACAAGTTGGGTCTTTATAAATGAAACATTCACTCGTTGCCTGAACCCAGTGAGCTCAACAAACCCCAAACCTGCTGCTATTAGTCAAGATCCCAGGAGAGCAATTTAAAGCCTGTGAAGGGCAGTGACACCTGTTCACGGTTTATTAAATGCTTTCACCTTGTTGATGATGCATTAGGCGGGTCACAGTGGCCTAAAGCCAAAAAAAAAGTCCAACTTCCCCTTTGCTGTCCATCTCATCTATCTACCACACAAAAATATATTTTGTCATCCTTTCACTGTGGTTTGATCGGGTCTTGCTCCAGTTTCACTTTGTCTTTGATAATTCTGATCATTTTCAACATGTTGATTTAAGACATGTTGATTTAATGCATATGGAGCCAGAGTGTGACACTTTTTTCCTACTTTCAAGTCTACTTCCAGTCATGAGCACCTCATTACAACTCTTGCTGTGTTTCCGCATTAGATGTAAAAACAAATTTACTCATAAACCCCTTTTGTTTGATCACAGGATGAGACGAATGACAACATAACAAGTATCACAATCAACAACCAGGGGACTCATCTACCCTTTCTGTTTACAGGAATGTCACCATCAATACAAAACTAGCAACTACCAGATCTGCTCAGCACGAGTCCTTTCAAAAGCCCCGACTGAGCAGCCACGTTTTCCTCATATGTCAACGACAAAATGATGGCTGCAACTTCACGTTTCGAGCAAGATCCCCCTTAAGCGTCGAATTGCACAGCAGCTTTACCATATGCCCCGCCTACTGCTGCGTCACTAGCACAGGATTTTGTTGCTAGGGGGTTTTGCATACAGCATGCAAGAGGGCCTTGATGAATAGGCAACTTTGGCTGCAGCAGGGATGAGTAAATGTTACAACCAAGCCAGAAGAAGGACTGGAGATGACCTCAAAATCAACATGGGTACACCATGGAAAACAAAGACATATGCAAACATATGGCTGGCAAAGGGACTACCTCAAAATATGAGTTTCTGGCAACAGGAAAAACAACACATATTTGAATTCTGAAAGTAAAGAAATTTCCTTGTCTTTGATGTTTTGTAGATTTAGCTTGATGTACAACCAGCGCAGCAGCAGCAGAATAATTTGTTGGTAATCGACTAATGGATTGCCTGTAATGAATAAAGAATTAAAACCCAAACCTCATAACAACTGATTGTCAATCAGTTGTCTGACTGTCAACTGATTGAACTGGTGAGTGAAATGAGTTTTAGGTTTTTCAGGAAACAAGGCACTAAAAAATGATTCACATTGAAAAGCTTAACTGGACAAGAACCCCACTGACTGAAATGACCTCTGCAATCTTAAATATCATCATGAGTGCATTTGTTAGGAGTCATAAATAACACCACCATGTAAACGCCAAAACATGTGGCGCCTTGAGAGTCTACTTTTCTCTTCATATGCCTGTTGACATTCTGGAAAAGCACATCATGAACGCAGACAGCCCGCTAGTGGTCGCTGTTCGCTCCCCACACAATCCTGCCTGGATTCTGTGAGACTTAATTCACCTCACTAGTACGCACAGGCTATCGTGCACATGAGCAATAACACACACGAGCCCAAAGGCAACTTTCACAAGATTTCACCTGAATCCCCCCCCCTTCAAGACTTCTGACTGTAGCACTAATGCTCAAGCATGTCCCTAATAGCAGCAAGAGCAATGCAAATGCTAATTTATTTTTCTCAAACCTCATCCAAATTACACACATATTATTTTCACTCATGAAGTCCATGACATGCCTCTGCTTACCTGATAAACACTACCGTTTCCCACAAATAGATCCCCAGCGCGTTTAGTCGGCACATTTTTGCCAGTCTCATTTTGTTTGGAGGGGGGGTGAAGGTGTTGCTGAAGGGGGTGGGGGGGGGGGGGGGTCACACTCTTGAGAAGATGAATTCCCCTCCAGAAAAAAAAATCCTTCAGTGGTGGAAAAGGAGGAGGAAGAGGAAGAGAGGGGAGGGGGGTTTATGTTTATGGTTTATGACCTCCAAGGTGAGCCAAAAATGTTCCGCTTTTTTTTTTTTTGTTGTGCGTGTGTCAGATCCCGGAGTCGCCGGTGCTGAGCCGCGGGATGCTCATAACCTCACCGGCCATGAAATCATGCTTATGTCCGCTCTCACGCCTCCAGCGCCGCCACAGTGGAGCCGGGGTAAATCCACAAAATCCACGAAATTGTGTTCAGGACCACGGACAGAGGCAGGCAGAGATACCGGCGGGGCTGCGGGGAGGTAGCTCGTCCAGGTTTTGGCTCGAGGGGGGGAGGGGGGTTAGAGAGGAGGAGGGGATGGGGGAATGGAGGGGGTCCTCGAGAAAAGGTTAGCCGCTCACAGGCTGGTGTTAATTGACACACAATTATAATTACACCCAATTACTCGTAAGTCCAGTCTGTGCGATCTACAGCGGTTAAAGGGGAAATAAGACATATTCCTTCAGTGGTGGAAAAAAAGAATCACGGGGTGTTTCGGCGGCGGGAAACTGCGTTTCGCTGTCTCCAGAGGTCTGGCAAACTGTGCCTGTGTGTTATATTCCCTAATTCCAATAGCAGAGTAGACCCACACAGAGGAGTGCTCTTCTCAGACCTGCAGGTTTTCTCTCACATGCATCCCAGAGGCAGCCGGAGCGTCGCTCTGGATCCGTGCGTATTGGCTGTTGCTGGAGTCCCGGCGCTGCTGCTCTGAGAAGGAGGTCTGCAAGTAGAACAAGTCTGCCTCCTTTTCTTCTTCTCCCTCTCCTTCTTCTTTACCTCCTCCTCCTGCTGCTGCGTGTGCCTCTTCCTCTCGTAGTTATCTCCCAGGGGCGAGTAGTAGTAGTAGTTGGCGCTGAAGCAGCACGTCTCAGCTACTCCCATTGTCTGGTAGTGGTCAAGTTGGAGACGCACCGGCAGCCGCTGCTGCGCTCCGCATCCGCTCCCATCCGGGCACGGCTTCCGTTAGAAATAATACTATTTTTTTTAAAAGCAAGTCCCTCAGGAGAAGAGAGAGTGTTATAAAAATGTCGAGACCTGCGTATTGTACTGATGAGGACCCTCTTCCATGGCAGGAGAGCGATAGCGACTCTATAGCCCCTGCACGGCGCGCACGCACACACACACACACGGCGGTACAGTAGCACAGCCAACCTTGGTGCGCTCCGACACTGTATTTTCTTGCTGCAGTCATTTAGCAAACTCCAAAAAACGCACCTCGCAGTGGACAGACACTCCCACAGGGTGCTGCCATTGGCCAGCACGGCCCTGAAGCCCGTCACTGATTGGCTGGAAGAGGTGTCACTAGCTGGGCGAGCTCTGCCCCTCACGCATAAATCCCCTAGGGGAAAATCACTGTAAAAAGAACTTTGTGATGAGTTTAGATAGACCTTACAGACATGTTGTTAAACAGAAATGTATTTGTGATGCTCAGCAGTGAGGTAGAATTGACCTTAATAAGATAAATTAAGTTGTTTTGTTTAGTATTTTTTAATCACAGAGAGAGAATTCAAAGTGCTTTACATTTGGCAAAGAAAATAAACATTTTAATGAAACACAACAAAGAGGGAAAGAATTCCATTATAGTAGAACAAAATAAAATGTAAAGACAATGACTAAAATAGTAGAAATACTAGAAAATGTATAAATGTGTAGCACTGGTTTAGTATAGTTTCTTCCACACAAAAAACGTTTAAGAAAATTCAACAGTGAAAAACACAGGAAAATCAACATTTAGATTAGTTTATTGTTTGTCATGTGCTGTTTTGCATGTATTTTGTTGATGATTTTTATGAATTTTAAAGGTCTTCCTTTGGGGGGGTTGCAAATGGTATGTGGTATGTGGCATTGGCTCGTGCTATACTTGCCTCTATACAAATAAACATTTAATAAATATCATATTTTAATTGGATCTTCAATTGTAAGATTTGACCTGATGTCATTTCCTATTTTTTCTTTTTTTTTTTTTTTACTGTTATAGCCTTATTGTTGTGATATTTCAGTAAAATCCCTTTTTCAGTAAACTGATGTTACATCATCATACTTCATGGTGTGATATTATCACATAGTGGTTTATTGTGTGTCCGTGAGGCTATTAGAGGACTTTTCTGTGGTACTCAATAGTAACCCTGTAGTCATTTAATTTTCACAAGATTACCAAAGCTTAGCATTGTTCTAACTCTACTATGTCTATCCAGTATGAGCAATGATTACACTGAAATCAAATATAGAAATCAGATATTATAGATTACAATGTGTTAGAGCCTGACCGATATGGGTTTTTAGGGGCCGATGCTGATATTAAGTTGAAAAAGAGCTGATTCATGAGCCAATATTTTGATTTTGAAAATTATTTGGATAGTAGACCTCCTGTTTAAACTATGCTGTTCTTTTCTGTGGGCTATAAAACCTTTTTTTTTAAATGGAATATGTTAATAAAATAGATTACAGTCTCAACAACCTAACATGTAAACAATTGCACATCAATAAATATTTGCTGCAGGAAAGTGTAACTGTAAACAGATGGCTGAAAGAGAATAAGTGTAGGCTATGTGTATTTTTAACTTACTCATAATCTGCCCTAATAACTACATTCAATGTAGCATATTCACATCTAGTCAATCCCTGTACCAGCACTCTTTAATAATATGGGGTGGTGATGGTGCACTGGATAAGACACATGCCTTTGGTGTGAGAATCCACTGTGAGACACCATTGTGTCCCTCAGGAAGACACTTAACCCCTAGTTGCTCCAGAGGCGTGCAACCTCTGACATGTATAGCAATTGTAAGTAGCTTTGGATACAAGCGTCAGCCAATTCATAAATGTAAATGTAATATCCAAAGCTGCGAGAAAAATATTCAACTTTGGGAAAAACGCTGCGCTCGTCACTGTTTTTACCCAGCCATCCAATCACAGTGCAAGAGAGGCGCGACAAAAACCACACCGAGCACATCCGATCTTGAACGAAACGATGTGCCTCGTCGCCGAGGTGTTTCCTCGCCCGTAAATCTCATGAACCCGCGTACTGTGCTCTCATGTTTCAGCCTTCTCTTCATGCGGAGCAAGGGCCAGAACAAGTAGGCCTACGTACTTTGTGGTGACATAGTAGGCTACCCTACTTGCAGCACATTGCCTGCACGGAAATTATGTATCATAGCAACCACAGCATCTTGAAGAAAAACACAGCGCCTCCAAAACGCACCCCAGCGCTCCCAGGTAGGCGTGTTCAGAACAGCAGGTGGCGTTTTCAGCTGGCAAAAAACGCTTTGGTGGACAAGGGCCCTTAGATAACCTTGTCTGGCAGGAAGTAGTTAGATTCTTGTTCAGCTCACGTTTGTTTACGTTAGCTGGTGATGTAATGCAGAAAGCCGTACAACTGTAGTATTTTGCACCGGATAACGTTAGCAAGTGCTTTGTCCAATAGGATGAAAGCCAGCTCTGTGTCGGGTTAGTCAGTTTCAAAAGAAAGCAATGATCTTGCTCTTGACTCGGGTCTTTCTCATGTTGACTGTGTTTTCACCCCACATCGATTTGATTCTCGTTTAGCCTGACGGGCTCCAGCACATAAAACTATTATGTTGATTTTTATCCTTATGTGGAGTCTGTGTTGGAGTCTGTGTTGGAGTGAGGCTCAGGAGCTCGCATGCAGCTAGAACCCGACCTGATTTCTTCACATAAGATGCAGAATAGTGGCTGTTCCAAGCAACAGAGAAAACAGGTGTGTGGTTCATTTCTAAGTGAGGCTACAGCTCATTGACAAATAGGCAGTAAAAAAGTGATTTATTGATTAATAAAAAAAAAATCCTTGTAACCCATTTAAGCATCACATTTTTAGTGTCACTGTATGGTAAGGTACAAGAACCGCAATTTTTGATCTGGTCAATACGTTTAGACTTGTTCTTAGCGAGGTTCAACGTTTTCCTTTGGTTTGTCTTGTTGCTAATCTGCAAGTGATTATTATTATACCCTTCTTTACACTGTGGTACAAGTCTCGGTCACTGGAGCGTTTACACCAACTGAGAGGTACTTTACAATATTTTTAATCTTGTATGAGCACTGTAATCTTGATATTCTAATAATGTCTTCTGTGCTATTATGGTAGCGTTTTCTATTTCTGCACACACACACACACACACACACACACACACACACACACACACACATTCCTCCTCAGGACTGTTTTGTCCGAAGTGTCCGCTTGAACGTGACTCTGATTCCAATGTCTGCATGCACTGAAGGAAGGAATCACAAGGTTGAGTGATACTGGGAATGAAGAGCACACACACATGCACGCACGCACACACACACACACACACACACACACAAAGTGAGAGGGAGAGCTGCTGAATATGGATATGATGTCTTCATTAGTGTAAAGGGAAACCCGCTCTTTCAATAAGGCTTCTACCTCAAAGTAAATAATGGAAATACCTCTTGACATTCAAGTCAAGTCAATTTTATTTATAGCCCAATATCACAAATCACATTTGCCTTAAGGGGCTTTATCTGTACAGCATACAACACCTTTGATCCTTAGACCGTCCATTCAGATCAGGAACCCCAACCCCGCAAAGAAACATAGAAGTACGTAGAGAAAGATTCTAAATAATCAGAGTACCAAACATCAAGGGTGGTTTCTACATACATCCTATACAGCTGCTAAACATCAAACTCAACACACAACACAAAAACTGCACTGACATTTGAAATGCAGTATGAAGAGCTGACAAAATGATGTTAACTGCAACATTCATTCGTTACATGCAGTTATTGCCGTAAAGACCCATCAGCCCTGCTTCAAAAACTCTTTTGTCTGTCGTTAAAATAATGATTTGTTTTGTTTGGTTTCCTTTTTATTGTTGTGAGTATGGTTCAGA